TGGAAACTGGCACAATTACCGAAAGATAAAAGAGCCATTGGATGCAAGTGGGTATTTGTAAAGAAAGATGGATCTCATAACAAGAAAGATGTTCGCTACAAGGCACGGTTGGTAGCTAAAGGCTACGCTCAAAAGGAATCGACTACAATGAAGTATTTTCCCCTGTTGTGAAGCATTCCTATTAGAATATTGTTAGCCTTGGTAGCACAGTTGAATTTGGAGCTAGCTCAACTTGATGTAAAGACGGCTTTCTTGCACGGTGATTTAGAAGAGGAGATCTATATGACTCAGCCAGAAGGATACAAAGATGGTGGTCGTGAGAATGGGTTTGTAAGCTGAACAAATCGCTATATGGATTGAAGCAATCTCCGAGGCAGTGGTACAAGCGATTTGATAGCTTTATGATGGATTGAAGCAATCTCCGAGGGCAGTGGTACAAGCGATTTGATAGCTTTATGAGGAGGCAAAGTATACTAGAAGCAAATATGATCATTGTGTGTATTTGCAAAAGCTCAAAGATGATCTTTCATTTATTCTCTTGTACATGGCGATATGTTGATCGCTTCGAAGAGTCAAAGGAGATAAACAAATTAAAGGCTCATTGAATCAAGAGTTTGAAGAAAGATCTAGGTGAGGCCAAGAAGATTCTGGTATGGAGATAAGCAGAAATAGACAGAGGAAGCTTTGTTTAACACAGAAGTAGTATCTGAGAAAGGTAAATGTTTTTGGCATGAATGAAAATACCAAACATGTAAGTATCCCATTGGCTTCTCATTTGAAACTTAGTTCTCAATTATCTCCTAAAACTAACGAAGAACGAGTGTATATGGAAAAAGTTTCATATGCTAATGCAGTTGGGAGCTTGATGTATGCAATGGTGTGTACGCATCCTGCATTTCACAAGCATTGGAGTTGTGAGCAGGTACATGCATGATCCTGGAGAGGACATTGGCAAGCTGTGAAATGGATTCTACGGTATCTCCAACAAACCGTGGATGTTGGTTAAGTTTTTGAACAGGATGAAGCACTTGGTCAGTGTATGGTTGGATATGCTGATTCTGATTATGCTGGTGATTTGGATAAGCGTCGATCAACTATTGGGTATTTGTTTACTCTTGCTAAAGCCCCAGTAAGTTGGAAGTCTACATTGCAATCTACGGTGGCCTTTTCTACTACAGAGGCAGAATACATGGCAGTTTCAGAGGCTGTAAAGGAAGCAATTTGGCTTAACGGGTTGATGGAAGACTTGGGAGTTGTTAAAAGTCACATTAGTCTCTATTGTGACAGTCAGAGCGCTATTCACTTAGCGAAAAATCAAGTCTACCATTCAAGGACTAAGCATATCGACGTGAGGTATCACTTTGTGCGGGAGATCTTTGAAGAAGGAAAGATTCTACTTCAGAAAATTACGACATCAGAAAATCCTGCAGATATGATGACCAAGGTGGTAACAGTAATCAAGTTCAATCATTGTTTGAACTTGATTAACATCCTGAAAGTATGAACACCTTCGGGTGTGTGGCGCTTGTGAGCGCAATTAGAGGCACTACAAATTTAGGGAGTTGAAGAAGTTGAGTAGGCTTGGTAATTTCAAGCCAAGGTGGAGATTTGTTAGATTTGTCTAGAAATTAAGTTGACAAGTTGGAAATTTCATCTTGGTTGGTGGCCAACTTATTGAAAATTTCATTTTGGTTGGTGGTCAAACTTTGAACATGTGAATTTCATATTTGGTGGCTAACTTGTACACATTGGAAAATTCTTTGGTAGGTGGCCAAACTTTGAACATATTGTTCTTGAAACTCAACTATAAATAGGCCTAAGTATTTCCATTATAAATCATCCCAAAATCATGTTCTCTCTTTTATTGTTTTTTATTCGGTTCTTTTCCATTGTGTTTCAATATTCAATAGTTTGACAGGTTTATCCGCTGTGCAACCTTTGGTGGTTTTAATCTTGACATTTTAGGTCAATTTTAAAACTACGTTCGTGTGGGAAATAATCCGTTTTCCCCAACAGAGATCCCCAACATCAAACCTAACTCATAGATACCTCATCTTAAATCCTTTCATTATCTCATCATAGCGTCGAAAATCTTTCCTGATATATATATAAAAAAACATAGGAGTGTTCGTCCGCTTGAAATATGTTATTGTATTGGTTTTCGACGAGTGGATCCTTTAATACAATAAATGCTTTTTTCCATAAGTCTTAAGTCAAGCCACTTTATGATAATCCATTAAGGGGACAAATGTTATAAATATAATCGCTTATAAATTAAATCATTGAATTTTGAGATATTATTGTTTTTAAAACCTTTATTTATTTTTAATTCTTTATTCAATGGACTATGATATTTTGTTTGAGGAACCAATGTTTCACAATGTTTAATTAAGTTCCAAAAAAATGCATCGAAACTGGAAAAAGAAGATTTTTTTAGGCATGCGTTCAGAACTGATAGTTTTATATCGTGAATGATGTTACTATTATTTAAAATGCATGTAAAACGTGGAAACCACACCTCTTGGTAGGTTTAAACTTAATTCAAATGGTAAGGAATGAAACGAAGAGAGTGTTGGGAGTGCAGACTTAAAAATTTTAAATCTTCTAATATTTTAAGTATTTTTCTTATATATTATATGAATTACTTAATTTTATATATTTTATAATTTTATAATTTCACACCTCCTAAAATTCTTAAATTCACAACTCTAACATAAATTATTATATTCTTTAAGGGAGACGTGCTAGCGGAACTAACAATGGACAGGCGGCTTATTAGGTATCTAAGAGATCAACGAACAATTAGACAGTTGATTTTATTAAGTAATTAGGATATTTGACTATGTTCGACACTTGATACAGAATTTTGGAAAATCTCTTTCTTTATTTTTTAATAAAAAAGAGAAACGCCTAAAACTGCTAAAACTGAGAACTAAAAAATTGCACTGCCATTTCTTCTGTCATCGTCATATACGTCATTCACTTCTATTTGAGTGTTAGAGGTAAGAAAATCAGAATGTCGAGCCCACGCCAGCCTCGCCAGTCCCGCCAGTCCACCTGCCACCCAGTTACAGTCCATCGCCAATGCTTTTTTCAAAAAACTTGATTTCATATCAAGTAAATTTTATTCATAAAAATATGAAATTAATTACTAATTATTAAAATTAGGGTAAACTATGTGTTTAGTATCAAACTATCAATTTTAATCCGTTTTAATACTTAAACCTTACTTTTTTTCAAAATCATACCTAACGTTTAGTTTTGTTTCATTTTAGTACCTCGCCATTAAAAATTTAATGGATTGCCTGGTGTGGAAAAACTCCGGTAGACGGATGACCAATTCGAACGGTGGACCACAAGAGAATGATGAGTCGACCAACATAATCCAGTTTCAAGCCCATTGGACACTAGACCATGAAGATCAGAGGATGAAGAAATCGAAGAATACATCATCGATTTAGGGAGATTGCGGCGTTTCTCGATGAAACGGAGGCTATATCGTGTTCAAGGAGACGAAAAGGTACAGGATGGAAAGTTTGGGCTTCATCGATCGACATATATGATGGCCAACGATTGTAGACTCATTAGCTTATCAAACTATATATTGAGCCTTTAAAAAGATTCAACAAAAGACAGAAACAAATCCACTATTTGTGTTACGTCAAGTAATACGTGGAGTAACTCTCTATTTAGCATTAAAAGCAAGAACTGTAGGCGGATCGACTAATCAAGTTCCCGTTGAAATAGAATTCACACAAGGAAAAACACTTGCCATTCGTAGGTTATTAGGGGCATCTCAAAAGCGTCAAGGTTGAAATATGGCTGACGAGCTCGTCTGTTAAGTTTTTAATGGTGTAGTACTAAAATGAAACAAAAACTAAACGTTAGGTATGATTTTGAAGAAAAAAAGTTTAATTACTAAAACATATCATAACTGATAGTTTAGATACTAAATGCGTAGTTTACCCTTAAAATTAATATCAAATAGACTCTTAGTAACTAGGGGTGGGAATAGGCTAGGCCAGGCTAGGCTTTAAAAGGCCTGAGTCTGGCCTACGATGAATTTTTTAGGCCTGAGCCTGGCATGTAGCCTATATCACAGGCTTTTATTTTTGGTTTGGCCTGGCCTTTTTAAAAGCCTGGCCTGACCTGATAGCCTATTTAAAAGCCTTCTTATGTTTTTTTTTTCAGGTGGATTGGATGTGTTGGAGCAGCAAGCCAACAAGATATGGGCAGCTCCTTGGAAAAGTTGAGGCGTGGGCATGAATGGTGGCTGCTTTTGGTGTGGGTATGGGCCTAATTAATTAAAAATGTTACTCATAATCATGGCACATGCTTTTGGTTTCCCACCCCGGGACCTGATATCCATTCGGTACAACAATATGCGCGTAAACAAATTTAAAAATAAAGGGAAAACACGTTGAGAAATGAGAATGCTTTTGGTTAAACCCGTGTAACTATTAATTTAATAGGATTGTCTTTCAGCATTGTCTTTCAGCTTTCACAACTATTAAAGCATTGTCTAATATATATATATATATTAAAGCATTGTCTATTAATTTAAACACGTTGATAGATAAATGGAAAACAATATGCTTTGGTACTCCAATAATTAAAGTATTGTCTTTCAGCTTTCACAACTATTAAGGGAAAAATAATATATATATATATTATATATATATATATATATATATATATATATAAGCCGGCCTATCATGCTTATAAGACTTTATAATAAGCCTAAGCCTATCATATTTAAGTTAATAGACTTTTAAAAAAATCCGAGCCTGACCTTTTTATTAAATAAGTCAGGTCAGATCAGACTTTATGTAAGTCATACCAGACCAGACCTGGCCTATTCCCACCCCTATTAGTAACGTTGGAATTGGGTATAAAAAGGTAAAAGAATTGGAAAGGCAACGGCTACTTGGTTATTCCCTCATATAATAAGTAGAAAAGGCAACCGACCATTCCCATTTTCACAGCTTGGCAAATTGGCAATGGCTCCCCCAATCAGATCCCCCTGCTTTTCTTCAACTTTTTGTATCAATAAAAAGCCCTCCCCTTTTCTCATGGACATCGATGAAGAAGCCATGAAAATGTCCCTCAAGAGACTTTCCATTCTCCGAAAGTTGCTATCCAAGTCCAATAATGTTCTTCGAATCCCCATTCTACTTACCAAAATGAAGAAGCCCATGATGATTCATAAGCTTGTTTTTCTCAAGAAATCCACAAAGCTCAACAGGTTTAAGCTCCTCAATCATTACAACTATGGCTTCCTTGGAGAGTATCAGTTGGACTCCTCTTCAACTACTCCTCTTATCCATTACTACAACCCACAACATGAGCTCCAAAACAGAAGCAGCCACAATATTTACTCGTTGCTGTTTCGGTGCAACTGCTTTGGTAGCCTGAATGCTCAAGCAAGACAAGAAACAGATTGCAGATTAGCATTGGACGTGGATCATCTGCCAGCTGCCATGGCATTGCCATGTGCAGTGGAAATAGATTTTGAAGATGATTCAGTTGATGAGAGGGCTGAGAGATTCATTGAAAACTTCTACGCAGAGATGAGGCTGCAGAGGCAGGAATCATTTTGACTAAATCAATACCTTCATTATTATTATTTTTCTTTGATCTATTTGTTCTCTTTAATTTCACACGTTTTTTGTTTCTTGAGATTGTGGACTCTTATTATTTTGCTTTGTCATGATATTGATTTATTTGGCAATGGATAATTAAGTTTGATGGGTTTGCAAGGCATTCAAAAATTTGTAATAAAAGTAGAGTCGAAGGGGATTTGATTTTGGGTAAACTACGCATTTAGTTACTACAACATAATAAAATATTTTTTTACTACTAAACATTTGAAATTTCCTTAACAATTATTAAATTCGGGTAAATTACATGTTTAGTACCTAACTATCAGCTTTAGTCCGTTTTAGTACCTAAACTTTCATTTTTTCAAAATCATACCTAATGTTTAGTTTTTGTTTTATTTTAGTATATAACCGTTAAAAACATAACTACACTGCATTTTTTTATGTGTAACTTACATCATTCATCACTCAAGTATCTTCTCACTCTTATTTTGGTACTAAAATATAAAAAATTTTAATTTAACTACTCAACTTTCAAATTGCTCATATTTTAATCACTCTAATTTATTTTATTAATAATTTTTGTAACATGACATTTTTTTATTATTACTTTATTGATATATAATTAAAAATAAAATAAAAATGAAGTTAGCCATTAAATTAGGAGTAATTTGAAAGTTAAGTAATTAAATTAAAAAAATTTAAACTTTAGTTACCAAAATAGGAGTAAAAATATAGTTGATTGATAAATGATGCAATTTACCCCCATAAAAAGGTGCTACATGCAAATTACTCGTTAAGTTTTTAACGGTGAGGTACTAAAACAAAACAAAAACTAAACGTTAAGCATGGTTTTTAAAACAATTGAAAGTTTATATACTAAAACAGACTAAAATTGATAGTTTAGATACTAAACGCATAACTTACCCATTAATTTTTTATTCAAATATATAAGGCTTAAATGCACATCGCCTCCTAAACTATGCACTTTGTATTGAAGTTTTTATTAAAATATTTTTCGAGACATTTTGTCTCTTAAAGTTTTAATTATTATCTCATTTGTAATCGTTAACTATGTTAAAAAAGCATGAGTAAATTATATATTTAGTCACTTAAGTATTCATACATATACATTTTGGTTACTAAATTATTTTTCTCAAAATCATCATTAAACTTAAACTTTTGTTCCGTTTTGGTCACCCAATTTGATTCATTCTATTTTTAAAATCTTTAATATATAAGAATTCATTTATAACAAGGTAAAATTAATATAAAAGAATTTATTTATCTATTTAGAAGGCAACTTGATACAAAATACATAATTTAGAGGGCAATAGTGCAATTTAAACCTTATAATCGTTGTAGCGTCTTTCTATCCTTACATAGTTTTTCTTCAAGTGTCCATATCGAGTGTACCTGATCATGTCTGCTTTCTGACACAATCCTTCCTAATGTACCATCTCCAAAACAGTGCAGCTTTTTTTAGTAGACACGTCCTATTTTGAAATTTAATTTTTTTTATTAATTATATATTTTATTAATAATATTTATTTTAAAATTTTATTAGTGGTGTTCACCTTTTAATTAGTGGCAGCTTTTTTAGGGTGGAAACATGCTATTCTGAAATTTAAATATTTTTTAATATTTTTCAATTAGTTATACATTTTATTAATGATATTTATCTTAAAATTTTATTTGTATTGATTCTATTCAAAAAATTTGTATTATAAACATATATATATATATATATATATTTAGATTCGTTACTGTCTTCAACCGATCGTGTACATAAAGTGAAATGCAGTTCGACGAACTTTGGTTTCCCCTCTCCATTGGTGATCATTTGTTTAAGCTATTGTTAAACATATGGAAAATAAAGTATTTAATTTTATTATATAGACATTAAATAGCATATTTTTTTATTGTAACTAAATTTCAATTCCGGAATTTAAAAGACTAATTATAGTTAAATTAAATAATTTTATACACTACTAATATGTTTCATTAAAAAGATTAAATATATATATATTTTGGGACATGCGATGAGTATGAATTTATTAACAAAGAAACCTCTTGTTGACTATATATACGTGTATATATTGGGACATGTGATGAGTATGAATTTTCGAAATTAGATTATATTTATATTTTTGTAATTTACTTTAAATAGTATAAATCATATTATAAATATCATTTCATATAAATTATATCATAATTTTCAAAATCTTATAAATTTTTGTTTACAAACTTCTTAAATGAATGCAGTTTAATTCATTTTTATATTAATTTTAGCTCCACATTTTACAATTGTTTTGATTTGATATATGTGTTGTTTAATTTATTTAAATTTAAATTTATAATTTCATATTTATTCAAACTAGTCCTTAAAATTATATTTTCATCTGAAATAGGCCCATACTTATTTATATTTTTGTAATTTACTCAAAACCCTATAAATCACATCATAAAATTCATTTCAAACTCTAAATTAAATCATAAACTCTAGACCTATAAATATTTGTTCACCAACTTTTTAAATGGATGTAATTTAGTATATTTTTATATTAATTCTAGCTTCACATTTTACAATTGTTTCGATTTGATCCCTCATCCATGTGTGTTATTTAATTTATTTAAATTTTAGTTTGTAATTTTATGTTTGTTCAATTTTAACCCTTAAAATTACATTTTTTTTTCAAAATTAACCCATAGGTATTTCTTTTTTTTAATTTACTCCAAATCCTATACAATTACAAAATATGATTCAACGATCATGAAAGGTGGAAAATTATTAGCCCAAAAATGATCCGACCTGAAGTTCATCCATATCTGGTAAAATCCGACCTGAATTTTATATGTTAATGATGTAACTCAATTTGAACGAGATTCGAGCTGAAGTCCATCCGAACCTGAATTAAACTAATATTTAACTATTTTGGATCCAAACCATTTTGACCGGAACTAATATTGATCCGAACTAAAATTAACCCGACCTGAACCAGAAGTAAATCTGATTTAAAATCAACTTGAAAAATGACTCGAATTGGTTTGACCCAGACTCAACCTTATCCAAATCAAACTATTAAATTAACCTGACATAATCCATATCTGATTTGATCTAATCTAACATTATCTGATTGAAACATGAACGAATTACCTGATTTCATATCCCTAATCTCCTGAGAATGGAGTTCCTCTCCCCACCAAGAATGCCCGATTTTTAAAACCCCAACATCCCACATAAAAATCTAAAATAAATGAAAATAATAGCGATTTTTCTAAAAAATCACCTTTTAATACTTTATATACCTGTCAAACACCTTTTCATCTTTATTTACCGATCTAACACCCTTTGTAGAAAGACGTGCCCCCTGAAGCGCGCCTTACGCTGATATGGCGACACGTGGGGTAAGACGCCCCCTAAAGTGCACCTTATGCTGACATGATTATAGGCTAGCTAAAGCGCGGCCCCTGGGGCACGCCTTATGCCACGTAAGGGTATAGCGCGGTGCAGGGGTCGCGCCTTCCAATTATCACATGCATAATGCAAGGTGCGGTGCAAGGGCTGCGCCTTGCATAATTTCATCTGAACTTATCGGCTTTAAAGCATTGTCTATCCGTTATAAATACCCTTTCCCCCTTAAACTCTCTCACAACTTCCTCTCAACCGAGAAACTACTACAATAATCCTTTCAACCAGTAAAAAACACCCGGTAATCCTTTTATTATTTTTTATTCAGAAGTTCGTTTGATCTTTCGTTATAAGGTAATATTTTTATAATATTTTTTATAATTATATATGATTATTTGAAAAAAAATATTTTATTAATTGTTTTCAATTAATTTTTGTGGTTATAAAATTAGAAAACGGGAGCATACGTCGAAATATTTTTGCCGATACGGTAATAATATAAACTTTTATCATTTAAATTATTTATGTTTATGTATAAAATTATTTACGTTTATGTGTAGAAATTTTATTGTGTTATATTTTAATTCATTTATTATTTATTTAATTAGGTTTGTTTCAGTTTTTTTTGCAGATATAATATTGTTGCACTTTCAAACTCTAAGAATGGCGCGAATTTTAGCTATTGTTTATTATGATGGAGAAATTCGAGAAGATGAAACCGGCGTTGTTTTCGTATCAAATCATTATGTTAAAATATCATTCAAGAGAAACATAACTCTTGAGGAGATGATAACGAAGATTTCAAGGAATGTTCATGTTAGAAATACTAGAAGAATGTCGTCGTTGCAGTACAGATTTCCAACATCATTGTTGCCATTAACTTTTACAGTGTTCGAAGTATCGAACAATAATGAAGTTGAAATGATGGTTGATTCTCAAAGTAATTATTCAGACGCCGATATTGAGATGTATGCAAAGTTTGTTCAAGTGCGTATTGTTCGAGGTCTGTCATTAAGCTCCCACTATGGGCTGGCTGAACAAGTTGATAAAGTTGACAGTCCGACGACTGCAGTAATGTGCAATGATTTTAATGTCATAATGGGAAATCCGCATTATGTTGCTGTCCCATCAACTTCAATGGGGAGACATTCATCAACAACTCCTTACGATCTGCACCGAGGTGGGTCCACGAACAATCTGTATGGCAACATCGATATGCGGGATTGTTCATGGACCCGCCTCGGTACAGATCGTAAGGAGTTGCTGATGAATGTCTCCTCATTGAAGTTGATGGGATGACAACATGATGCAGATTTCCCATTATGGAATTAAAATAAGAGAAAATAACCTCAGTGGCCGTGAAAATTGTTTGAGGATACTTGCTTCAGGCCATGGCTGAAAGTACAACATACGGGCGGAGATGCTATGTTGACACATTTGTTTCTTCAGACCATGACTAACGATCTACCCGAGAGGATACAACGTGGTGATGAAGAGATATGGTTTCATTTTCCTTTGGCACCGGCGTATACTTGTTTTGGGTGGGAGGAGTTTTGCTTAATCACTGGTCTACGCTTCAGACACGATG